ACTTCTCAGTCTGGCACAACTTCCCTACTTGGGCATTGAAGTCGCCTGCTAAAGCAACTATGTCTGAACGTTTTGATTTTTGCAGTAAATTAGACAGTTTCTGGTAGAAGTTATCCTTTAGTTTATCCGAACTGCAGTCTGTTGGGGCGTAAGCGAAGACTATGAAAAGACAAAGATGGGTAACGCCGTCTTTCCTTCTTTTAACGGACCCGTCCAGACGGACCGCACACATACGACTATCTACTGGGATCCAGTCAACAAGTGAGCGTATGCTGAGGAGGCCGTCGAGTGAAATCGCGCACTAGGCCATTGTTCGAGTTGAATCACAATTGGAAACGACGAGTGGGTCGTCGGTGCGAGGACGGCATGGAGGAGATCGCGTGAGGAAGAGATGAGAGACCATGGGTTATCCCGGACCCAGATGAAGAGTAGAGAATAGAAGAAAGTGGAGATGTATTGTTGAAAGACTACGTTCCACTCGAAATCCAAGGCAATAATAATAAAAACATAGAGAAGACTCTTTAGAGCAGTTTTTTTATTTTGTCAAGTCTACAAGTACTTTGGTGTGAGATAAATCTAGTAACATAACAGTATGTACTCATTTTTGTTATTTCAGTTTTTGCAGGTGCGTAAGTCGCTTTAAATGCAAAAGAATTCCGATTTCACATGCACTGTCTACACCTAAATTAAGTGAATATGATGGTGTAACTTGACTGCATTCCAAGCATGATTTTTTACGACGGAAAGTGCTTTTTTTAATTCCTAATTTCAAGTCTCTTCCATGCTGTCCTCCCTATTTACGGGAAACTTATTTCCCTATGTGGGTTTAAAACCAGGAACAGATCTTGACAACTCAAGATTTTTTGAATTTGTCAAATTTCAGTAGAATTCGTTAGCTTAAAACTCTGCATACCTTATATATACCATACGAAGTAGTCCGGGAGATATTTAACGAATAAATTATCCACAATGAATCAACTATACAAAGGTGGGGAAGTCTTAAAGGTCAAGTTTAGATGTTGAGAGAGGATGGAACCGATTACAAACTGTTGAAAGCTAAGATAGCGATGGATTACATTTAAGTCACTGAGATTATAAATTATCAGTTACAGGAGTAAAACATTGGTAATATTTAGGATTGTAAAGTGATTTATGACAATTGAAATAAGTAGCAGTGCTAATAACAGTTAGTAAGTTGAGAGATAGTATAACATTATGTTAAAAGTAATCATTGCTGCTTTTTGACACAGGGAGCTGGTCTCTACACTATTATTGCTCAAGACTGCGACTCCATACATCTTTAACTCATTCATCTACTGATAACGGTAAACGACGTGACAGTGTCAATAGCACACCCGTTGTCTAGAAGATGTTTCATTCTTGGATATGTCTGCTTTCTTTTACATTATTTACTCTAGCATGTGCGTTTAATCTTTCGCAGATTGTTTTAATACTTGCTTGCTACCTTGCATGATCTGTGTGTACATGTGATATACTGCTATCGATCAGAATATCTGTGTGTACTGCTCAGGAGTTCGCTCTGTCTTTCTTTATAGCTGAGGCATGATCCTTGAAAATGGAAAATATGAAGAAGCTATCTGTTACAAGTCATTAGTAGTGAGGGTAGGTGTGCAGAGTTAAGCAAGGAGGAGAAGTCAGTCTATTAGATTGTGAATCTGCGTCTATCGAGGTGGCTAAAACGTGCTCTGTGTACGCCGAATCGTCGCCTTCCTCGATAAGCAATGTTAGCTGACATGGAATTAGGTGAAAAATAGAAGTGGTCAAATCGAAACATGGCATCAGTCCATGATGGAGGGGGGTAGGCTGTGTGGCTGAAGTTCTGGAGAAGCCAATAACCAATTAGTGACTGCTGTTAGTAATGGTTCATAATCGTTCTCAGTGGCGCGCATACATTCACTTTTCGTGATTCCTCAGATCCACCAAATTCTGACTATCCTAGTAGCTATTCTTTCTCCCGGACATTCTGGTTTATTATAATTTGTCTTCAAATTTCTCTTTACACATCGATGTACATCTGATGAAGTGTGGCAACTTAAACTTCAACACTTTTGTGCAAAGTCCTACGTGGTAAATTGAGTTAGCTTCAGGTGGTGTTGAGGTGTAATAATTTTGTCTTATGGCTTTATCAAGCCTTCGTTTAATTACTACTTGTACGTTATCTCCTTCAATGAGCAATCTTTTTAAGCTATGAGGGGTGGTAATTTTCCTAACTCTCATACCTGTCGAATACATTTAGATGAGCCCTTCAGAACATCCGTTCTTTGATACAGTATCTTTCAGGATCTTATTTCATATTCGTTGCTGTGCTGAACTGTGTCCTAAATATTTTTGTTTTGTACTAGATAAGAACAAAGCTCTTAATCTTCATACACGATCACATAGGCAGAAGTTATCTAAGTACAGATGCAGAAGCACACCACCACAAACTTATAACCGATTGGTCTCGAGTTCAAATCCTGCTTTGTCTACTCCAGTCTGGGCAGTTGTGTAGCAGCATCCTTCAAACAATAAATGTGATTCAGAGCCTGTTAAATGAAAAATCTGAGATATAAGTGTGTTCTAAAAATACAAATATGATTTCTACATGCTAGAGTCAACTGTGACTGTATTTCCTGTGATAATTTCCATAATAACAATTTGCTGACTATAAATTTCTCATCTGACAGATATAATCCCATTAAAGGTAATCTTTATGCTTCGAAATTCCAAAGAAATTAAACTCACTCTTAGTCTATGAGGATACCTACAAATTTGCTGACATTAAGTCATAGAATATTTTGATTGGGTGTGGTTTACTATAGACATCCGGCGTACTTTTATTTTAATAGTTTCAAACATTATATATGTATGTTCTAGGTTCGCAGTGATATATATTTTCCTGAGTATCTTTGTCTGCTTATTACCTAAGTAAAACAAAATTACCCTAGGGATTTAATTTCGTTGGAGCAGGACTGGTAAAATCACTGTTAATATAATTCTGCGTGTATATATACTTCTCCAACATATGTCTCTTAGTTTCCTTTTTTCTGTTTTCCTTTGTTAATTTATTCTATTTTTAAGAGCAAGTTCACGCTTACTTTTAGTACTAATTAGAGACACAAACATAGCTAACCAGACTGTGTGTATCATAGCAACGTGGAATTGTCTGCTGGTTTCTTCTTTTTTCCCTTAAGTTCATAAGATTGTTTTTATCAGCTGTAGTAGATAGAGTTAACGTGAATGCAAGTATTTAAATCCATACTCATATTACATACCTTCACGTTTGTTTGTTTCTCAAGGGGGTTTTCATCAGAGCTACAATCATTTTAATACTGTTAATATTAAAAATTGAAGTTCACTATTAATTGAAAATTATTTAAGGTAGTTATTTTCCTCTAATAGCATATTCACTGTATTAGTTATGTGTACTATCTCTGTCTGTTAATCCACTGTTGAGAGATTTCAGTTACATTTTTTGACATTGAGTTGAGTACCCGTTTTCTCTCTTAAAATATAGAAGTAGTTTTCTATATTTGGATATTGTCATTCAGCATTGTGTTTTCTTATTTTAACTACTCTCTAATTCTGTACTTCTCACCTTGTACATTTGCTGATATCGTTGAAAATGTAGTTAAGGTTAACTAGTAGGATTCTGTAGTTGTGTATTCAGTGTTGTGTTAGGTATCCGACAGAGATAGAGAAAAAGGACAGTAAAGTAAAGCTCTCTATACCATTTAACTCTTCTGAATTCTCAAACTCAATGACTAATAAAGAGACACTTCAACCATTGAGTAACCTTATTGTAAAAACTAAACCATACATGTCTGTTTTTTCATATGATTTCGACAGGAAATGAAAATCTTATTCTGATTGAAGAGCGTCTGTCACTAGTCTCAGCAGAATCGCTTTAATACAAATTGCGACGTGAATGGAAAAAAAATTTTCATACATGGATACTTGAAGTTGAATTGGAAAAGCTTTTTTCTAATCGTGTCAAAATTAAAATCTCAGTTGAAGATTACGTTTTGTTGCAAATATCGTATACTTAATTCCTCCTAAGCTTCCTCTTTCCGTAATCAGCGTGATTAATCAATTCAAGCACTCATTGGAGATGAACAAGATTCATCTCACCAGCTATGAAAAACACTACGGCTAGTTCAGATGGCCTTACCAACAATTATTTGTTTTCATTTTCTAAATCGACTATACAGCTGTTGAAGTGATGGTTTTATTCACTGATAAACTCATAAAATCAGTCTATGTGTCACGAAGGTTGTCATCACAAGCTGATGTGAGTCATCTGTTTCAGCAGTCAGCCTTCAGCAAGCTCATTGCTCTCTGCTTACCTCATCCTGGACAACTGGATAATACCAACAGCCCTCAAATACTGAATGTAGCTCATATTCCTGGAACATGAGAAATGTGTTCCGGGTAGTCGGGTTCTAACTAGCTGACAAACAATCCGTGGTATGTGTCAAATGTCCAGATGGTATCACTGATTCCAGAAGACTGATCGGTGCCTCAGAATTCTACGTGCAGTAACCGACTCGAGAACATCAAAAACAGATTGGTAATAATAGGATTGTTTATTTCTTCACCGACAACGAACTAGAACAACAGGGTTACAAATTCTATAAACAAACGTCAATATAAAGCACAATATTAGTTCTGATCGGTTTTCTCTAGCCTCCTGTCAACCAGAGTATGATTAGGCAACAGCAGTCATTATTGTTTCCCGTCAAATAGAGATCATTTCGAATAAACAAATCATATGTTGCTCATTCAATTTTCACCAACACTGAAAGTATGTATTTTCTTTGGTTTTGAATAACAATGAAGTCTCCTATGTCTTGCTATATAATGTTTTATGCCTATATGAATTCCTATGCGCCATAAGGCTGAATTAAGGTGGACGCTATTCTGTTTAACTTCATGATATAATGCTTTTTTATTGATTTCTTTCCCCCTATTAATTAACACTTCATACATTCCTTTTCAAGTTGGAAACCGATGGGACAGATGAACTAACTACAGAATACCTAATGGATATCCTTTATCCTAAACCACCAGAAACGCAGCTTAGATTTCAGAAACCACAAGGTCCTATGGGCCGCCGTCCAAGAACACATATCCATTGAAAGAAGTAAAGATTGCCTTTCTTTCTTACTAATCAACACCACGAATTACTGTTAGTAAATTACTTTTTATTCATGTATTTCTTTAGTTATCCATTTTAGAATATTTTTTTTAGTTTTAATACGTTTACTTTTCTATTTGACACTTTTCTTGACTCCCGCACTTTTATCTATACTAGTCTGATGAATTCACTTTAAATATGTTAACATATTTTGATTGATTGTTTGTGGTACTTCACACTACAAGACGTTTAAGTGGGAAGTCTTGGTCTTGATAATTCTCGATAACTTTCCTATACTTATGTAAACTGGCTCAGCCACAATATCAATACTTTGATGTATTGTTGATCTTTGTGTTGTAATAAAAATGAGTACGTTGTTGTTTTACTCTTTCATCTTCCCTCTCTTTTTATCGTATAATATAGCAAATGTTCCTAAAGTTCATCGATACTGTTGCTCGTACTTTCTTTACTATTTATGATTATTGGTTTGTTCATGAAATAGTATTTGTGATTTTTTTTCTAATTCCGAGAAAAATTTATTTTTATCCGCCTGTGTCTAATTGTAATAATACACCTACAATTATTATTCTGCATAAATAATGCTTTACATGAGATAATAAAAGAAGGGATTAGTATAGAAAGTCTTTTGTTCTCATACAGGTTACTTACTCATAAATATGTTTTTAGAATGTAACTGACATCGGGGTGTTTTCCTGAAAATGATATTAATTCGTAACGAAAATGTAACAATTGTAATCAATCCAAAATCCCGAAAATTCCTATAATATGGATGATGAATAATTGTTTAGAGGTTATGAACTGGACCACATTGACTCCTAGCTTAGAAATAGGGAGTGAAGTGGTAGAGCACGTTGACCACTCCATTTATTTTCGGAGTGGCAACAGCATCAACAGATTGATCGCTGACGAATTCTCAATACGGATACAGAAGGCTCGTTTGGCATTAGCCAACTTACACCATCTCCGGCGTAGACGCGATATCCGGCCATCGACCGAAAGGCGTGTGTACTGCTCAGCAGTTCGCTCCGTCCTCCTATATGACTGGGAGACGTTGGCCACTGAAAGTGGAAGGCATGAAAAGACTAGATGTCTTTGATCATAGATGCCTGAGTTCTATCTCCCGTATTCAATGGTATAATAAGGTGAGCAATATTGAAGTTAGGCGTTGAGTGCAAGGTAAGGGGGGGGGGAGAAATCAATCGACGAAGTTGCGAAGTTACACCTATTGTGATGGTTAGGACATGTGTTAAGCATAAACAGCCATCGCCTTCCTCGACGGGCAGTGTTAGCTGACATAGGATCAGGTTGGAAATAAACCAGTGGTGGTCAAACCAAAACATGGCTTCATCAGTCAATGAAATCCACAACTGTTAGTTTAAGCCAGCCACGTAGGGAAGTGTAGATTTTCTGGTTGGGATCCTCGGGATCGTAAACACTGATGGCTGGAGACAATCGGTGATGTGGCTCAAAATCATTCTCAATGGCTGGCGCAGATGTAACCACTCCCTGTGACCTTTAATATCCAATAAAACTATATTTTTTTCGATATTACTATTCTTTTTTCCTCATATCTCTGTTTACTGTCTCTATTTTACATCTCTTCTCTTGCTTTGTGTGCTACATGGAGTGAGTTAACTTGAACTGCGGCAGATCGATGCAGAGTTCTATGTTGAAACCAGTCAGTGAGTTACAGGTTATGACTCCTGTTGATCATCACCGCTTTGATGAAGGTCTATGTCAAGCACACTTAGTCACTTGACTAATATTAACATCATAAATATTGTTCTAACACCAGTGTCTTTCATTTTAGTGATAACACATGTAAGGCGTTAAATTATAAAAGCTTATATTAGTCTGAAGAAGAATAAAGGTTAGGTGGAGATCAATGGTTCATATTTTACTGCGATTTATGTGTATGTATTTTGATTCTAGCTATTATGACAAATCTACTGTTTGTTTTTTAAAGAATCTCAGTAATAATTTGATTTCCATTCATTTGTTTTATTTCATTACACATTTTATGGGGAAGTGTTGATTTGTGACACATTATATTACTGGTTGTGCGTCGGTTGCATAGTGGTTAGGACGCTCGCCGACCATGCACATGGTCGGGGGTTCGATGACCGGCCGGCGCACTCCTTTACCTCGCTAAGCCAGAAATAATGCTGGTGAAGAGGAAAGGTTGGGCATGAGGCTAGCAACCCCATCCTGTAAAAATAAACACTGCTACAGAAACTTCAAGACTCTAGCTTGAAACCCTTTGTTCCACTGGGGAACGTGAAGAAATAAAAAAATATATTACTGGTTAGACTGTTAGGCGATATATTCTTCATGTCCAATATGTCTCATTTAGAGAAACAGAAATTTATCTTTATTCTTTTTGTCTTTTATTCTGTATCACATCCAAATTCCATTGAGTTTATGAGCTTTTTGTCATTAAAAGTATTTGGTATTTTTCATAGACAGCACTTATTTTGTTGAGAAATTTAAGATGCTTTCCTTAAAGATGTCATTAAAATAAAAGCCTATTGTCAAATATGAGATGATAACTGAGTCAAGAAGTACAAACTTGAAAAATAAAATTACTTTTTCATACAATAATTGGTAATCATTGCTTTACTTTCATGAAATAAAACTTGTGATAAATGTAGTGTAATTTAATCATTAATACAATATTCTGTGTGTTGAAGTGTTGTTACTAAGTTGGCTTCACTTCACAAGTACGTATTGTATCCACTCAATGTTTTGTATTACCTTTAATGTTGGCATATAAATTAATCTTTTCTTAAAGTAAATTTTAGATTATTCACAGTTTGTAGTAGCAATTCAATCTTCTATCTGTTTTGAATTCTTGATATCAGTAATCTTCAGGTATTAATACATTTCTGTGTATGTGCATTTTTATGATAACTCAATATGGTATGTATAATAGTGTGCATTTAAACATTCCTCTTAACATTCTAGTGTATTCACAGTACCCATAGGTAAAACCACACACTAGCTATGTACAAGACAAGAATGTTTTATTTCATAATAGCAACTTGATATAATATTTATATTTTGGCTGAAACTAAGGTATCTGTCAATCAAATATCTACAGGGATTTGATTGGTTGCGTGATTGATCATTTTGTCAAGAAAGTCATTCCACACATTACAACGGGTGCATATGAGGAAATTAAGAAGCCTGTAGATACAATGATGAATAAAATTAAGAAATTTACAGCGGATTTAATACGCAGAATGAAACCGTCACTGGGTGAGTCTAAATGGTTTAATTTAATGTCTAAAAGTAACAACGCTAGTAGAATATATGGTACTATTAAAATACATAAGCCAGGTTACTCCATACGACCAAAAGTAGATTTCAGGAATACCCGTACTTATGAATTATCAAAACACCTAGCTCTAATATTATGTATCATTAGAAACCATTCAAACTCTAGACGAAAAAGAAACTAAATGCCATTCAACTAGAGATTGATGAAACAATGGTTAGTTTTGATATAACTAGTCTTTATACTATTATACCAATCAATATGGCCGTAGAAGCAGTTAAAAGATAACTAACTGCTGATGCTGAACATACTCATAGGATGAAGCTGTTCATTGAGGAAATTATTTTAGGAATTCAGTTATGTCTCACATCTACTACCTTTAAATTCCAGGGCAAAAAATATAGACAAACAGAAGTTGTAGCAATGGGATCACGAATATCCCCTATCGTAGCAGATATCTTTATGGACAGCAGGGAAAATATTGCTCTTAATACATTTAATCCTACTCCAAAAATATGGTGGAGATATGTGGATGACACTTTCACAGTGTTAGAAACAGAACATATCTCTAGCTACTTGACGCATATAAACTCACTAGTGAAGGGAATACAATTTACATTTGAATCAGAAAATGAGCAAGGAGAATTAGCTATGTTAGATTGTAAAATAAAATGAACAGAAGAAGGTAAACTGCACACTAGCGTTTATCAAAAGCCAACGCATTCTAATAGATATTTAGACTTTAATTCATTTCATCCGCCAACTGTTAAGGCAGGCTTAGCTAAGTGTCTAACAAACCGAGCAATAGCACTAAGTAATACAACAAAAGACCTGAACGATGAAATAAAACAGATCGAGGAAGCTTTGGTTTCATATAACTATCCTATAAAAATGATTAGGAAGATCAGAAAGGTCACAAGAAAAATAAAATGTAACAGTGAAATTAATAAGGATAAGATAAATAAGAGAGAATATAGGGCATCTGCAGTTCTACAATATAAGTAAGGGATATCTGAACCTTACGTAGAATTCTCAACAAAGCAGAAATTAGGGTGGCATTTAAACCTACAAACTCACTGAGAGATAAGCTCTGTAGGTTAAGAAACTTTGTTGACCCAATTAGACAAAATAATAAAATTTACAAAATACCTTTCAATGACTGTGAGGTCAACTACATAGGTCAAACTGGTAGGTCAGGGGTAGTCAGATTGTCAGAACATAAGAATTTAGCTAAGATAAGAATGGTTGACTCGGCGAAGATGAGTAATTTAGGAAAAAGCTCAGCAATTACACTGCATGCATTAACACACAACCACACAATAGGGTGGGAGAGGGTTAAAATTCTAAGAAGTAATCTAATCTAAATGGAGATAGAAATCGATTACTGAGTCCTGGTTCATCGAGTCTACACTCAACACGTGCAATAGGAATGACTCATCACTCATACCGGAAAATACTACTACCAATCAAGTCAAGCGATGAAAAATAATGGAATTATACAAACGAAGTCAGAAAGTTGTGTGAGTAGCTTGATATGATTATTAGCAAGTAAATTGTGCTCGAAACGTCATCAGTAAATATTACTGTATAACACTGTGTGACTTTATCAAAATAAATTTTATCTATGTTAGGATATTCCAATTCACTTCAGATGGTAAACGTGTAAAGTAACACTCGAGAAAATGTGTCTGTTATCACAGATAATAAACAGTAGTTGACTTCCTTCTGTAAAACCTAACTTCATAGCATCCTAATCTCCAAATTTTGATTGATAAGTATTTCGCCGTCGAAACTGAGGCGATTACTATTATTCATCGTAGATCGGTGTTTAGCTGAGTCTTTTACTATTTAATGCTTAGAATTTAATGGACTGTCATGTAGGAAAAGGTGAGCTCTGGTTTGAGAAACTTTTACTTTAGAGTTATATATATATATATATATATATTGTTCACATTCGTAAAAAATTATATTTGTAAAGTCTCAGCGAGATTGAAATGAATAATTCCAACGTTCCGTTCAGCAATCTGGTCCGAACTTCTTCAGGGAAACTAATCGAAATTAACATAACAGAGGTTTATATATAAAAGGAACATCACTTGTTTTTAAAAATTTGTCCAATCATGAGTCATTCAACGAGTATCAACAAGTATAATAAACAAAATTTTATGAGATGTGATCAAAATTTGACCTCGGACTTACAAATATTGATCTACCTTTGTTAAGCACTTTAAACAGAGTGTGTATGTGTATGTGTGTGTGGGTGAACAGTTGTAAAACATTTCTTAACGTTTCCATAAGAAGATATGGACAGTCGAGAATTTTGACCGAGT